TACTGTGTCTGAAGACTTTGCTAGAAACTTTGAATTCAACAAGACTCATGATCACACCATCAAGTCACTATGTTTAGGTGTACTATAACACCTTTTACAACAAAACACACATAAACCTTTATCCAAATTGATAAATCAGTCACATACTAGTTCATAATACATTTTAAAGAATTCAGCTCTTCTCTGAAATATCATAATTTATATTTTAAGGAAGAAAGAAATTTTGTTCCATGTCCATTAAGGCATGCATGAGATATAATTCTAGGAATTTTCAAAATGGAAACCTTTCAGAGAAACTGATCATTACAATAAAGAATTGCTTATCATCACCATCAAAAGAATCTAGTATATTTTTTAAAACTGTTAAACAGATACAACTCTTCTCTCTAAAGAAATTCATCATCAAAGGACAATAACGATAATAATGCTTATGAACATAGAAAAAGAGGGTTTCCTCCTCATTCAGCACGGCTTCCCCATTTTCCTCTTGTCTAGTCCTACTTTCTTACCCAGTTCTATTCCCCCTGGGTTACTCTGCAGTGGGACATGAAAGCAGTTTTGTGTTCATTAAAACCTTCTCCTTTGCCCTACACTAAGTCATATTCCTTTAATAATACACAGACTTGAATTCTAGTTTGGGTTCTGTTATTACTTGGGAAGATCTTGGGTCTTAGTTTCTTCATATATAAAATAAAATAGACTGGGTGATTTTTCTGTTATTCTATAGAGTGTAAAATTTAAAAATCTTTGTTATATGTATTATACATTTATATATGTTATATTATATACAAATGTACTGTGTAATTGAGCAAAGTGTGAAGGGGGAAGACATCACTTCCATTCTTATAATTAGGAATTTATAAATTTCTTACATTTAGGAAATCCTTACACTTAGGAAAAATGTTCTTGAAATAGTGTTCTTGTTTAGACATTTAAACAAATATTTATTTAGACTTGTTAAATGACTCTCATTTCAATCTGGAAAAGCTGAGAAATTTACTTCTTTTTATATGCTTAATCCTACTGAAAAGGAAAAATTCTGCTTCCACAGTCTTGATTTAAAATGAGTACAATGAAGAGGGATCTCCTGTTACTAGTGCGAAAGTAAACTGATTTAATCTCTTTGGAAGACAACTTGACAATACTTATTAAAATTACGAATGCTCATATTCTTTTGATCCAGCAACAACATTTCATGAATTAGTCCCACAGTTATACTAGTACATGTGCAAGAAGATATATATGCCAGGTAATTCATCTAGGCAATACTGTAATAGCAAAAGACGAAACAAATGTCCATCATCTGGGTAAAGATTAAATACTGATACATCGGTAAAATGCTATACTATACAGTGAGGGCGGAAAGGATTGGGAAAGCACTTATGTGTAGATATACAAAGATCTCCAGAAATGAAATATTATGTGAAAAAAGCAAGATGCAGAGCTATATGTTACATTTTTGTAAAAGAAGTGGAAAAGGATATATATCAGTTTTGATGGTATGTGTACTAAACATCTCTGGAAGAATGTATAAAAGATTAATAGAAGTGGTTGCTTATTTGATGGACAGGAACTGTATTGATGAGTATAGGTGTAGTACAGAGACTTTTTCACTATATACTTTTAATGCTTATTTCTGAAACATATAAATGTATTCATTATTCAAATTTAAAACTAATAATTACTAAAAGAAGAAGATTAATTTAGAGTAACGCTTCACCAGAAGTATCTAACAATGAAGTTAAAAGCATCTTTAGACCCACTTGTTTAGAAGGATAACTCAATAGAATGTGCTCCTTTGTTTACTTTAAGGCTACAATTCAGAAGCCAATAAACAATTCACAATCCAGGGTCTTTTTGTACTTCTATAGAAAATAACTTTTTTTTCAGTTTAACTATATTCTTAAAACCTAAAGAAAATGCTGATTAAGGGTTAGTTAATGAGAAAACTGCAAGATATTTATTAATATAAATAGATTTTTATTTACTAATAGGAGCTAAAAGTTTAATCAAAATACAGCATGTTATTGAAAAGCAGTAAAGAGCCTGGACAACAGACTTCTAAGCAGACCCTTTTCTTCAATTAATTTGCATATGTAGTTTCTGTTACAGACTTTTCCAGTGCTTAGTCTTTAACTGTGACATTGTTAGGCAAAATAGATAGAATCCACACTGATTTTCAATATAAAATTAATCTCTATGTTTTCCTTCTTAAAATGAAAATATTAATCATAAAAAGGAAGCAAATAGTGGCTATTAACATTAGAAATAGCTCATGTCCATTACCTTATGAGAAAGAATCTTCCCATCACCTAATGGTTTTCCAGTTGATGCTTCAAAAAGGAAGATTACTTGAAAAAAAAGTAGAACATTAATTAATATGTTGTATTAGAGTTTTTATTGGTAAATTTCAATGGAATTATCATAATCCTCATGAGAAATTAAGTCTTTAGACCACTGAGTATCTATCAGCACAGAAGAACAGCAGCATAAAATTCCTATTTATTAATGGGGTCACATTTCTTATGAAAACAGTGGAACTCATTACTTCTTCCTAAAACACATTTGCTAATTAAAATTGTTATTAATGATATAGCATCAATGCTCCTTAGGCTCAACAATGGCAAGTCCAAATGTGGATGTAATTTGTAATTCTGATGGCTCTGATTTAGACCAATGAAACATCACAGACAATCATATTCCACAAAGGAAAAATGTGTTCCGTGCCTACTATAACAGCAATGTGTTATGTGCTGTTCAGTATTCTCTTGTTAATACTGTAGTACAATAAATAATTTATCTGGTCTTTGTCCTGAGTTCCTGGTAGGGAGCTTCCAAAAGCCCTTAGATAGTTTTAGGATAGGGGCTGATAATTAGAAAGACCAACCATGCGATTGGAGAGTTGGAACTTTCAGGTCCCTGACCTCTGGAGATGTGAAGGGAGCTGGAGACTGAGTTCAACTTTGTGGACAATGATTTAATTAATCATGACTATGTAATAAAACCCCATTAAAAATTCTGGACATCAAAGCTCACTGGAGCTTCTTGGTTGGTGAACACACTGATGTGCTGAGAGGGTAACACGTCCTGGGAGGAGAGGGAACAGAAGCTGTGTTCTTCCTAGGCCTCGCACTATATGAATCTTTATAAGAAAACTGTGATCATAAGTATAGCTTTCCTGAGTTCTGTGAGTTATTTTAGAGAATTATCAAATTGATGGGGTCATGAGAAGCCATGAATTTGTAGCCATTGGTCAGAAAAGCAGGTGTACTGTGCACTGAAAAATCTGTTGAGAGAGCAAATCTCATGTTGTGCTCTTATCACAATAAAATACAAATACAAATAAAAATAAATAAATAACCTTTAATCCTCAAAATTGCTTGGAAGCCACAAAAAAGATGTAAAATATTCATTAAGATGTGTAAACATAAATTTCACTATATAAAAACAAAATTTGGTAACATTTGACGTAACAGCCCAATTTCCCTCAGATTTATCTCTAAATTTACTTATAATAGCACCAGTCTTCACCACACATACTCTGATTTCAGGTGAAGGAGTGTCTAGTGCCCATACCACTCTACCCCTACACCACATTCTTTACCTGCACATTGTCATTCTACCTGCCCATCTTTCTCCAAGATATTATTCTGTCAACCCACTTAACAACCCACTTTCTCCTGTACCTTTTCGCATTCCTTTTCCTTTGGTTCATTCTCAACATATAAACACTTTGAAGTCACTTTCATTAAAAAAAAAAAAAAAAATCCTTGTCAACCCTCAAGTAATCACTGGAAATGATTTGCCTCTCTTTAATTCTAACCTTCCTGAAACAACAGTCATTCCAGCTTTTACGATTCTTGACCACTCTTCAACCTACCATGATTTGTTGTTCAGCCTCACTACACTGACACAAAGGCTCTTGCCTGGATCACCAATGACTCATATCTCTCCAATTCAAAAAAACTATTTTTAGTTCTTACTCCAAGAGTCTACTCTTAGTCTTGACCTCCTAGCAGCACTGCATGCTCCTGACCATCTTCTTTCTAGAAACTCTTATGTAGGCATGTAGGCTATGTATAACATTCTTTTCTCCCAGTTCTCTCCTATTTTGGACAATCCCTCATTCTCCTTTGCTAGTTTCTCCTTATCTGGTGACCCCTGTTCCTAAGGTTTTGTTCTTGGTTGCATTTTCACAATATATGCTTTCCCCAATATCATCTACTTTCATGACATCAACCTCTATCTAAATAATGATAAATCAGAGTTCTCTATTTCGAACCCCAGCCTTACTCTGCTGTTCTGCAGTTGGTGAAGTTGTGAAAATTATAGGAGAAAGCTGGCTGGTAAGCTCAGTTGGTTAGAGCACAGTGCTGATAACACCAAGGTCAAGAGTTCCGACCCCTGTACCAGCCAGCCGGCCCATAAAAAAAAAAAAAAAGAAAAAGAAAAAAGTGTTTGTAGAAAGAAAATTATAGGAGATAGTGTACTGAAGAAGCCTGGAACAATGCTGCCTCTGTCCCCTTCCCCTGTTTCACCAAGTCTTCTCCTAGTCTCAGATGTGACAATGGTATTGGTAGCTGTTGTTTCCTCTGTTGAAAAGATTGTTGAAAACATAAAAAGGTTGTTGGACTATTTTGGTGGTTCTTTTAAAGTAATTCTCAAATTACTTTAGCCCAAGATTCAGCCTAAATGGAGTAATTTTATACGACAACATATACATAGGATTACAAAAAATGAAAAGATAGAGTTAGGAGAAGACAGAAGTGACATGAGTACTCAGCAAAAAAAAACCCAAAACACCAATTTATACAGATCATAAAAAATACTAAAATATGTATAACATGATATTTAATTCCAGAGAATCATACTTTTAGTACATTGATTATTAGATTTTGGTAAACCATAGGCTGTTGAGTTTGAGGTCACTGGGTATATTCATAGAGGAAATCAAATTGAGGTGGTCATGAGAACCCATGCGCTGGTTGCAACATTTAGTTATGTTCTAAAATTGCCAATTATGTTGAGAAAAATGAAAAAGAAAATACTATACAAATTTAAAACTAAGTAGAAACAAAAGTCAGAAAAATTTGGGCCGGCCCCCTGGCGCACTCGGGAGAGTGCGGCGCTGGGAGCGCAGCGACGCTCCCGCCACGGGTTCGGATCCTATATAGGACTGGCCGGAGCGCACCGCGGACGACACCACACCAAGGGTTGGGATTCCCTTACCAGTCACGAAAAAGACAAAAAAAAAAAAGTCAGAAAAATTTGACTTCCATTTTAAAAAATGCTTTGGGCTTGGCTAAACCAGATTATCTTCATAACTATACAAACTAATAACTTTTTTAAAAAACAAAAGCTTTCCATCCTTTTGCTGACTGCCCATATAATGGAAAGCTGGGGGTTCATGGATAAACTCATCTACTTTTTACCACAACTGTAAGTGAATCTGGTGTACTGGAGACTGGACCTGTATTTCAGTGTTAACATGTAACAGAAACTGCAAGTAAAGGATGAGGGAGCTAAAAGAGCTGATTCTAACCATAAGCACTCTAACTTCCACTCTCCCCACCCAGACATTTGTTTTTAAATAATCACCCACATTAATATCATAGCATCTGTGTGGGGAAAATAGGATAATTTAATCAGGCTCCCTTGGCTCAGGTCTGGTTGGGGGGTCAAGCAGCACATTTCTTGTAAACAAGTTATGTGTGGGTGGAGTTAGTGCATGTGCACCAATGTATCTTTTTAGTTAATTGCTATTGTGTGTTCTGCAGTTTGTGAAGGAGGCTCACCAGCAGAGAGATCATGTCTAAAAATAGAGCATGTTTACTCTGCTGGCAGCTGCTCAGTTTTTCTTTGGACTTTGTCTGTAGCAGTTGAGTTTTAAGTTTCTCTTTGGACTGCCTAGGTATTAGATGTGTGTGTGCTAAATAAAGACTATTATCTCTTCAACCAAGGCTCCAAGGACCTTTTTGCTGGTTACTGAGCTTGTAGAACTGCCTGTGAAGGGTTTGTGGATGGGCTCGAGGGGTCTGTGAGCACCAGAGACCCAGCCCTAGCTGTACAATCTGTGTCATGTGGATGGAGAAAGGAAGGAAGGCAAATGTAGTGGCTCTAGTACTTAATCAATCACCCAAAGGAGTATTCAAATCCATTCAACATCTATCTATTGAGCACCTACTACAGTATAGAGTACTGTGCTGGGCACAAGAATCTTGCCTATAAAGGAGCTCCCAAATTAGGAAGGAATCACTGATGTCACATGTGAAGGCCAACTTCTTCAGGTTAAAGATTAAAAGTACTTCAATCGTGTTTCCTCTTGCTAGCATATACCTTTATTAAGCCATCAATGAATTCTAGGTTTTTTTTATTTATTTTTTTATTTTTTGTGACCGGTAAGGGGATTGCAACCCTTGGCTTGGTGTTGGCTGCACCGCGCTCAGCCAGTGAGCGCACCGGTCATCCCTATATAGGATCCGAACCCGCAGTGGGAGGGCCGCTGGGCTCCCAGCACCACACTCTCCCGAGTGAGCCACGGGGTCGGCCCGAATTCTAGGTTCTTTAAGGAACTTAAAATATTTCCCCTCTCAATTTATGTAAGTTTTACAATAATTTTTAGTATTTTTAAAATTTTCGATTTACAACAAAACAGAACTTCATAATTATCTTGTTTAAAAATCAAAATTCATATTCAAAATTCATATAAGTAAAAGGATAATTTATTGGCACATAAATCTATATCTGTAAACATTCATAATTCCTTCTAGCTCTTAAATTCTATGAATTGTCAAAGGACTGAAGAATAATAAAATAACTTTCAGATGTGAATTAACTACAGAGAAGTTCGGAGAATAAGATATATTCAGTTGGAAACACAAATACTTTATTAAAGTTTCTATCTAAAATATGTGGTGTTGAATGAGAAAAGTATAGACAACTCATAATGATCACTAGGATTTTCAAATTTCAGTTGACTGAAAATAAAAATCTGACTTCCAAATTATTATTATTATTCAATTACACGGTCATCTTAATTCTGTCTGCTATCTGGACACTATTTTATTTCGTTCTCTCTTCCTATTTTTTAGCCAGAAAGGAAGTCCTTTTTTAAAAAAACAGCAATTATCAAATGCCCTCTTCTCAGAGAAGGTCTAAGGCATGAAGAGACAGAATAGCTCTATTTAGGAGAGTTATATTTTCTACCAGTATGAGAGGTGATACTATCTGAAACTACTGAAAATTTTAGAAGGACAGTTTTCTAGCTCCTGAATTAGGTCTTCCATGGCATAAATTAACAAAATTAACACTCAAGTCATATTTTTTGGTAATGTCACAGTAATGCACAATGTTTCACAATATGTATTAACAGAAAGAAAACATTATGTAATATTTAATATTTTTTCACTAGGCTTTAGAGATCACTTACTCTTCATGGTTTTCCTCTTATCTCAGTGGCTCCTCCTCCTCTTACCCATCTCTATTTTTTTCTTTCTTTTTTAGATAATTTGGATTTTATTAAAGTCCCATCTCTAAATATTCATGTGAGTTGTCTATACTTTTCTCATTCAACACCACATATTTTAGATAGAAACTTTAATAAAGCATTTGTGTTTCCAACTGAATATATCTTATTCTCCGAACTTCTCTGTAGTTAATTCACATCTGAAAGTTATTTCATTATTCTTTGGTCCTCCTCTCTGTCTACACTCACTTCCCAGGTGATTGCATTAAGTGCCATGGCTTTAACCACGAGCAGTACACCAATGACTCCCAAATTTATATCTTGAGTCCCAACCTATCTCCTGAGCCCTGGGCTCATTTATACTATTGTTTACTCTCCATCCCTGGTTGGATGTCTAAGAATCATTTAAACATACCATGACCAAAACAAGAACACTTGGTTTGCATACCCATTTCAAACTTCCTCCTTCCCTATCTTCCACCTCATTTATCCAGGATAACAACCTAAGATAGGATGCTTGGCTCCTCTCTTTCCCACATGCTCACATCCTTACCATGGCCAAATCTTTCTGGTTCCTGCTTATCTCTCTGTCCTCTTGTCCTACCACTCTCTGCCTGGTTCATATTGACATAGTCACATGACCTCTGGCAGTTCCTTTAACATCACAACCATTTCCACCTCAGAATCCTTGTACTTGATTGTCCTATATTTATTACCCTGTCTCACCTCCAAAACTATTCTGTCACCCTGCATTAGTTTTCTTCACAGCATGTATCATTAGCTGACAATTTATTATACATACTTTTTGTTGGTTGTATATTTTCATTTGCTGGATTGTCTTTCTTGTTCACCACTGTATCCTCAACTTCTAGCAAAGTACTTAACATTGTAAGCACTCAATAATATTTGTTGGATAAGTGACTCTACGGTACAGCAATACCTTAATAAAATGGTTTGACTATACTACTGAATTTCTTAAGCTATTCATACTTTTCTTCCCCTTTATTAACTTAAAATATAAATTTAAAAAAACCAAAATAAATAGTACAAGAAGTGCAATATTTGCTATGTTACCACATGAAGAAAAAGGGATTAAAAAAGATTAAAAATCCAAAAATTAATAAATATTTTTTAAACCACAATCTTGAATTCAGACTTTACCAACAGCTACTGAACATATAAAGATTTATTCCTTACCATTGATCTTTGATGTTGTAACACTATTTGTTCTATCACTTGGATATATAGTATGACAACTTCAGTTCTTTAATTCATGTTGAGAACAAATTAGGATGCTCATTATTCTTTCATATAAAGTATTAACAGATGAGAAAATGAAAGTTAATTTACGAAAACTTTACTGTTAACAAATTTCACAGAAATTTGACATGGAAAATTATAAAAATGTACTTACTTTTTTCATCAGCTTTCTCTTTTATTGCTATGGTATCATTACTCAGAGACACAGTCTGTGCATTCAGAATATCTGTTCTCATTCCAGGAAATTTTGGAGAAGAAATGAAGCGCCCTTCATAAGAATATAAATAGATACCACCACCATCTACAAGAAGAAAATGCCTAAAAAATAAAGAATAAAAATATATTTGCAAATAGGAGTATACTATATTTTCATTTTTATATTAGAGAATAGTTTACCCTTTGGAAAAATCTAAATCTTACAATTAAAGTAAGTACATAGACATATAAAGAATAGAATATTTTTAAAAATTGAAAGTCAACATTGCTTGTTTTGGTTTGTTTCCCGAGTTTTTGTTTTTTGATGGATGTAGGGGAAGAAAAATGAAAATGTCTGTAATCACTACCCTACATACTAAAATTGTGACTTCTTTTACATTATAGTCATAATTCATTTTCTTGCCTAAAGAAGATCTCTATACAAAGGCAATCAGAAAATCTTATAATTTACAACTTAGTGATTTTAATGCCAGGTGCTGCTGTTTGTTTCATGAATATTAATACTTATTTCATAATTAAAGATTATGTTAAAGATAATTGAAGATTAAATACTGGTTAAAGTCTAAAACAGTGAAAATGATGCAAAAGTTAAGATCAGGGCCAGTATATATTAAAATAAGATGCTTCTTACTTTAAAACCATATGGCAATTATCAGTATGTATTCATATCTAAAAACTCACACATTTTGCAGCAACTACTCAGGTTCATTCACTATGTTGACAGCTACATTCAAGGCTCTGTATAGCTAATCTTTTATTAACTGAAAATGTAAATATTTTATGGCTGTTATATTTTGCCTTTGGAAATTTATGAATATAGTAAAAAATAACTCAAACAATACAGAGAAAGCAAAAGACCTCTTGTGATCCTATTCCACAGGTAACTATGGCAAACAAAGTATGGATATACCATAACTTTACTTGGCTCACTCACTCCTGATAGATATTTATTTTATTTCAGATATAGTGTATATATATATATCTCTGTATGTCTACCCTGCTTATTTCCTTAGTACAATTTCTAGAATCACAATTACTAGATCAGAGGTTATACACTTTAAAAAATTTAATATATATTGTTAAATTGCCCTTTGAAAGGTTGTATTGATTTATAAGCATGCTCTGGTTATATTGGCGTGCCTATTTCCCCAATGCTGAAGACATTATTACTTTTTCGAATCCTGTCTTAAAGGTCTTTATATTCTTGATTTAGAATAATTTATTGATACAGGAATTGCTAATTGTTCTGTCTTGCGATGGAAACAAAAAGGAAATTAATACCAAAATCAATGAAAGGTTAGTATCTAACGAATACCAAATGTACACACTTCAATTAAATTAACACTTACAGATAGGTAGGTAGGTTATTTAACTGAAGGGTCTGGCCCTTACGCATTAGTATATGGCCATATACATTAGTGCATAAAAACAATATTTGCTAATCTTGACAAAGCGACACATCATGTTATATACTCTTTCTTTGTCTCAGTACTAAAAGCATTCTAAACAAGACACTATAGCTTTTAACCTCCTTGCAGGTAAACACCCTGTTTCTAGGGAACAAAAATCTCTAATTGTATAAAAAAGACAAGTGTGATAGGCAGTAACTAAAATAGTCTTTAATTACCTAATTCTTTATGCCATTAACATATGCCTTTAGTAAGAGCATATTTAATAAATACATTTATGAATAATGTATAAATATATACATTTATTTGGAACTGTTAGGGTAAAAAGCATTTCAGAAACACAGCTTTTTACAAAGCTGACATCTTACCTTTTAAATGGCAAAAATGACTTCTGTCTTAAAAATTTATGATATAACTAAATAAATCATATATTTCAATTTCAATAAACAGATGATATAAAATTTGACATAACATTTTCTTGATTATTCAAGGTCATCAATATGATGATCACACTCTTCAGTAACTATTTAACTGATAGCTTTGATACTCATGAGAACCTGTTGGTGCTCAGAATAATTATTCTACTCAGCTACACAGTTCTACACTTTTAGTTTTCTCTATGCTCCCTTGCCAGGCAGTCATTTTTCTTCCTGTCATTGTGCCAGCCTCTAACAGCCCACCAGCACCATTTCTCTCCCAGTTTACTATTTATAAAATGCTGTGGGCTAGGAAACCTGACAATAAACACTATCAAGAGCTGCCTGGGTGATGAGTAAAGGGATGAGGAATAAAGTACATGGTTTTAGTGCAAAGGTTTTATGAGTAGCTATTTTAAGTAACTGTCAATTATATTTTCATACTTTATTCCAAGTTTTATTGGGTCATAGCTTTTAAGTCTGACCTCTGATTCAGTAGGGTATCAATATAGACTAATTGACACTTTTCATGGAAAAATTTAGGTTCCTGAGAAGTAGCTATTCTTAATTTACTCCAGTTAATCGGCCTGGAGTTTCTTAGTCCTGTACACACTGAAGGTCTTGGTAGAGAATACTATTTTCACACTTCAGGTCACAGACCAGTATTGGCTCATAAAACCAATGAGTTTCAACCAATATTTAAAAACAAAAACAAAACTAAGCAGAGCAGAATAGAAAATAGGAGAACCATGGGGTCAAAACATTTCATTATAATTTGCCTGTTTCACTCTCATTCTCTCATGTCATATTCTGATGTTTACTTACAATGAGTTTATTCTCAGCATTTTAAATAAATTAATACCTTTTAGATTTCTCAGTCAATTTCTAATACAGTAAATGCTGATATGTATATATAACCTTCAATAACTTTTTAAGACTGTAAAGAAATTCTAACACTAAAAAGTCTCAGAACCATGAATCTAAGAGGTTATTCTTTTTTTTATTCTAAAACATATAATAGAAATAGATTGATTCCAAATGACTAGTGTAACATTCTGTAAACAGGATGCTTTAACAACTGCTTTTACTGCTATTTGAAATATTTTAACCCCAAATCCAACAGTTAAACATAATAAATTACCTTTCTGCTTGCACAATTAAACTAACAGTTCCTTCTTTGAGATCAAATATAAGTGGTGTATTCCAGTTCTTCGTACTAAAAGACAAATAAAATAGATATTTATAAACATTTAAAATTCCGAATACTTTAAGTAGATGGGTACTCAAATAAAATGACTTTAAGTAGATGGGTACTCAAATAAAATGACTTTAGTTTCACAGCAATTGTGTATGTATTTCTATTACAGCACTTGGTGCATTGTTGTGAAATTATTCACTTACATGTCTGTATCCCTGACTAGGAAGCAGAGACTCTGTGTCTACAGCAAGACATTCAATAAATGTTTAATGTAGATACTACAATTTGTGACTTGAGGAATCCTAAGTATAAGTCCAAGTTCTACTATTTATTAGCTCTGAGTTTGGGCAAGGAGTAGCATGGCGTAGTGAAAAGAGGATAGGTTTTTGCTGCACAGATCTGGATTAGAAATATGGTTTTACCACCTCCTGGCCATATGATCTTAACAAGCTTAACCTCCTAAGCATTAGTGTCCTTATTTGTAAAATGGGGATATCAATGACTAACATAAAGTATCTGGCAAACTGTCTGTTATATCAGGTACTGAACAAACAGAAACTATAATAAACAATAATATGATGAACATGAGCATTTAACCTACAGGTCTCCCAATGTTATTGTTGGGTCAAAATAAAAAGATTTCTGCGAAGCATTCTGTAAACTGTAAAATACTGTATAAATGTAGCTATGACTATGGTTATTGAACAAATGGATAACTAAATGAACAAATAACTCCTTTTGCTTTTATATGGTAATGTGATCTAAAGACGGGATGGGGGGCGGGTAGAGAGAACATTTACAAATGGAAAAACCTATCCTGAAATAATCAAAGTTGTTTGAGAATTTAAAATAAGTTTTATTACTCCTATATATTCTGAATTTCTCTCAATAAATTTCATAGAACCAATTCTTTAAATCAGATTAAAACTCATATTCAGATCCAGAGGGATGGGGGAGGGGAAAGTTGCCGTGAGTAGCAAACTGGTGAGCAATTAATCTTGGCTAGTGCAAAGAACCTGATACCCACTTCAGTAAGTAAATACATGCATAAAGCAAAACAACAAACAAATTACTATTAATAATTAGTGATTAGTTATTACTAATTAGTAATTAACACTAGTAATTAGTCTGGAGTTCATAAGTATGATGAAGATACGTGCTTCATTACTTTAGAAAAAATATCACTGCATGCTTCATTAATTTAGTCATTAGAATTAACCTTCATTCTTTGTCAAAAAAAGCTGATAAGAAAAGTAGTAATTATGTGGTATTCTTTTTAATCTCCCCTTAGAAAATATGAGATTTCTTACAATTGAGATTCATATAAATGCCATAGAAATATAAAATCCCTAAGCTATAATGTTGAATATAACAAGGGCATTTTCAATACAATTATTTGAAAAATCCAATGAAAATTTAATGTAGAGGGCTTGTATTGTTTTCTCTTTCTGGAATTTCTTTTCATGTAAACCAGTAAATTACTTGCATGTTTGTTTTAAAAATTATATTTTTATTACTAAAAAAGAGGCAACAGTTATATTTAGGACTTGGATTCAAATCCCAGATCTTCCTTTGGTAAAGAAATTAAATAATTTGACCTGGGGCAAGTTATTTAATCATTCTCTGTGTCCTTTAGTTTCTTCATCTTGTAAAATGGGAATAATAACAGTAAACACAAAAGATAGTATAACAATTGCTCAATAAATGACAACTGTTATTATCTAAAATATTATTAGGTTTTTAAATTTAATGAAATATGTTTTGTTGATGACAGGTCTCAGCACTATCGCATTCTTACTACTGCTCCTTGGTATTTCACTTTAATAACTATTTTGCATCTTAATAAATGTCTTGGTAACCAAGAGTGGGAAGGCAAGGTCAAATCAGAAAAGAAAAAAAGCAACTTTATACTTTCCCACATATTAACTGGTAAGGGAAAAGTACAGTAAAAAAAAAAAGAAAGAAAGAAATAGCAGCTGCTAAACTTTTTGTTGTTGTTGTTGTTGTTTTCTTTAAGAGTAATTAAGTGCA